AGTGATGTTTGTTTCTCGTTTTTTATCCGAAATTTATGGGCGAATTATCATGAGGGGTTTGGAGATAACGCGGTAATGTAATGCGTGAATCACAATTGAGAAGTATTGCCGGAGTCTGTTTATTCTCGGTAGAATTACTTTTTTTTATTTTTCATATTTTCTAAGACGTACCGCCTATCATAAAAAATACTATTGTTGTACATGTAACATGTAAAAATCATGTAATTGTAGAAAATATACATAAGTATCGATCCACTATAATTTTTTGAAAGGCATTAAAGACATAGAGATACTAAAGGCATTTTAGACATAGTCATTCAGCCAATTGCAATAGATTCTCCAATCAGACAAATACACAATATTAATCCTAATAAAAAATTAACGGACGCCAAATCACATTTTGTCGACAAATTGAAAAAAACACCTTATAATTGATTATTTTGAAAAAAAAATATTTATGAACGGAGAGCGGAATATGATAGACTATATGATGCATAACTTTATTATCAACAAACATAACCTTAGGTTATACAAAACAATAATTTATGAACATTTATGCTATATTTTAATAAAACAACGTGTTAAATTCCGGTCCGTTAAAATGTTGTTGTGGGAAAGTAAGGCGATTAAAACGTTTTAGCAATAAAAAATTAAGTAAGTGAAATGAAGAAACGTACCTATTATTAACAAATTAATTATAAACGTGTTTTATATAACAAAATTTTATTATTCACTCTTAAGGTTTTGATAGTAGCTCACATACTGTAGTGGAATATATTTAGCAATATTTAATAAATTGGCATGTTTTTCTTTTTTAATTCGTAGTGGCCATGGACGTATAAACATAGATGGACACAGCAATAAGATACCTTTAACACACAATGTTTTGAAGCTTCGATAGAATGTGATGCTTCCGCAATGAGCATAAGCGTGCTTGAATATTTACTCGCGGGTAATTATTCAGATTTTAAAAATTGGAAGTAGTAATAATGTATAAAAACACGTTCAAAGAATTTAAAAAAACGAGAGTTTAACTATTAACAAATCACATCTTTATAGAAAAATTTAAATACAATTTTATTTGCTTTAAAATTAATACAATTAAATATAGTTCAATTCAAGTTAATTTTTAATAGGTATCAAAATAATGCTACAATAAAAAATCTTTATGTTTTCTCCTAAATTTGCTACCAAAATAGTTCGATCTTCAATATTATTTGGAAACCTACATAGAAAAATAAATGAGTTTTATTCATTTCACTAATTTATTTGCATCCATGAGAAATATTAAATTAAAAAGGTACTAAATAGATCTTTTTTAATCAGATGATGTCTACTTACAATTTAAAAATGTCTGCTAATTTCATGAAGTTATATCTTATTTAATACATTAATGAACATGAATAAACCCAATGGTACGCCTATTAAAATGTAAACAAATACGCTTCCTCATTTCCTCATCTTAAATAATGTAAATTGTATGTACTTACAAGGATGTAAATATTTCGTTTATTTTATTTCACTTTTCACAAATATCACTCAAAATACAGCCAAAATATCGAAAAACAACTTTTACTAAAAAGTAAACAAACATGGAACAGCATTTGAAGTTTGACGTAGATCCATAAGACAGAGAAATGTAAACAATCGTTGCCATTTATAAATAGTTTTCAGTGCTACTACATATAAAATAATTGATTGATATCTATTATACGCTATTATTAAATGATAATGCACACTATGTGCACACTTTATATTTTGATTACAATTAAATATATTAATCTAACCAATAAATTATTATTTTGGTTTGATAGCACCTGTAGAGTATAAAATACGGAGTAATATTTTCAGCGACTCGCGAATAAGAAATTTTAAAACAAAACGTGACAACAGTTGAAGGTGCTGAGAATGTGACCTATTCAAATAATTTTGACTTCACAATTTTATGTAAATAACTGAGTCCATCTGTGTTTATACGTCCATGGTAGTGGCCCTTCATAGGCTTCTGTAAGTTCAGCAAGAGTGACTTCAGTTATAGGCGTTGTGGTCGTCCTCGGCTTCTTTTATAGTTTCTGGGCCTTCATTCCATAATACGTCTTGTCCACCGTCCATCTTGTGCTCTGGCTAAGTGCCCTGCCCAGTTCCACTTAAGCGTTGTGGTTCTTTCGATGACGTCTTTAACTCCTGATGTTTGTCTGATTTCTTGGTTTGTTATGTGGTCTCGAAGACTCTCGTTCAGCATTGCACGTTCCATGGCTCGTTATGTAACTCTCAGTTTATTCGCAGATTTTTGCGTGAGTGTTAAAGTCTCTGCTCCATAAGTTTGTACAGGCAAAACACATTGGTTATAAACCTTTCGCTTGAGACACATGGGAATTGAACTTTTTAGAATATGGCTTAATTTGCCAAATGCTGCTTATGTCAGGCCTATTCGCCTCTGTATTTCATGTGTTTAATTGTCTTTGCTTATTTTGATCTCGTGTCCCAGATATTTGTAAGTGTCTGTTTGTTGGATGGTATTGTCAATAGTTATATTTCCACTCATTACGAGATTTGTCATAAGGTTAGTTTTCTTAAAGTTTATCTTTAATCCTGCTCTTTCAGACAGACTTTTAAGCGAAGGTATCATAGAAACTGCATCCTATAAGTTATCTGCGATTAATACAAAATCATCTGCAAACATTAGATAATTTAATCTTTCTCCATCTATATTGTTGCCCATATTTTGCCATTGAGTATTTTTAAATATTGACTCTAGAGCTGAGTTGAACAATTTTGGTGAAATATTGTCTCCTTGTCTAACTCCTCGATCTAAGCTGAATTTTTCTGTGTCTTCGTGTAGTCATATACTTGATGTATAGTTGTCATAGATGTTTTTGATTAGTGTCGTGTACCTGTAATCTATTCGGCTTTGATTTAGGGCTTCCAGTACTGTTTCAAACTCTACAGATTCAAAAGCCTTCTCGTAATCGACAAATGCAAGAACCAGTGGTATGTTGTACTTGATTCACTTTTCTGTTAAGATCCTTATGGATGCCAATGGTCATTTGTGCCATATCCTGCCCTGAAGCCTGCCTGTTCTTTGGGCTGATAGAAATCAAGTTTAGGTGTTAGCCTCTTTGTTAAGATTTTCATAAAGAGTTTGTACATATGTGTCAAGAGGCTGATGGGTCTATAATTTTCTAATTTAATAATATCGCCTTTTTTATGTAACAAGATTATTCAGTCTTTTGGAATCGAACCCGCATGTAAGCATTTATTAAATAGTTCGCTTACTGATTTTAATATAATTTCTCCTGCTTTTATTGCCTCAGTAACGAGTCCATCATCACCAGGCGATCGATGGTTCTTCATTTCCTTTAAAGCTGCTCTTGCTTCTGACACAGTAATGGGTCTATTATCTAACACAGTAACGGGAAATTATCTTGTGGTCTTTACCTGGTTTAGAGGTCTTTATAAAACTCTCTGGTTATTTTCAGAATGGTTTGTTTATCTGTTGTTGCCTTTCCGTCTTTATCTCTCAGCTTGTATATTTCTTTTTTACTTTGTGTGAGTTTTCTTTTCATTATCTTTAAACCTTTGTTCTCTTCTGAGTACTGTTCTCTTCTGTTTGAGTAATTACATTAGTATTATATCTTCTTACATCTTTTCTAATTTCCGCTGAAATTATTTTATTTAGTTTTCTATATTCTTCTTTGTTTCCCTTTCCGTTTTCGCTTAGGTTTCGTCGTATTTCCATGAGAGCTTTTGTATCTTTGCTAATCTTTTCACTTTTGATGTCATTTAAATTTTCTTGTTTCGGAAATTACCTAATAGATATGTTCGCATATTTTTTCTGCATCTGTTATCATGAGTTTTTTGGGAGATTAGTACCTATGAATGCCACGTTGATCATTTAGATTTACTACTACTTTCATTTTATAAACAAGGTACTGGAGTCTTCTAGCGGTTATTGAAAATATGTAACATACCGTTGCTCTACATACTCTTATGTTTTCTACTGTATATTTCACTGTACACTGACGACGAGATGTTGCTTCCCCAACCCTTCTTCTTTTTGGCTCTTGCAGCGAAAGATAATGTTTTGAATAGTTTTGCGTGATTGTCCACTAATAACTTAGCAAAACAACCCGTAGCAGACTGCTTATATTTACAAATAGGCACCTAAAATAAATATTAATTTAAAACATGAAACTAGTTTAGATTACTTTAACTTTCTTCATCAGGGCTACTTAGAGCTTCTTTGGGTACTTTTCTAGACGAAACGTACGAATCACCAGCATCTCTGCGACGTTTTCTAATAGTCTGCTTCCACTTATCAATGTTAAGCTATCGTGTTTTCTCTCTGCTAATTTGGATAATCACCAGACTTATTCCATACTGGTGGTATATACTATGGTGGTTATCCTAACAACCATTTAAGCCCGAAATGACAAATTACGTGATTGAAAACGTTGACTTACAAAACACGTGCAGAAAATTTGGCGCGAAACACAACCCACTTTAACACATAGGTACAACGTTGTTACACCGTTACACCGAAAGTTGAAGGTTGGCTAATTTTAAAACTACCAAAACAGACAAGTTAAATCTCAAAATATTCCCCATAGTCAGCTGTACATTATTTTGCACATATAAAACGTTGTTTCATGGAAAACTCGCATATGAAAGTATTGGCGGTTACAACGTTGTTCCAGCATAAAATTCAATTATTTGCCATGATCATACCTTACATTTAATAAAATAAATGCTCAAGATACCTAAATTATGCTCTTGAAAAACCAGAATTTTTTTATATAAATTGTACTAAACATAATCAGTATAACCTATGATAGACCCTTATCAAACTATGTGATCTATTTTTTATTCTTACTATGCATATGTAAATTGTGGAATCAATATTGTAAATTCTAAATTTCTTATCCTTTCTCTTTCATTTAAAAATATTTTAGGTATGCTCGACATAAAAATTTTATAAAATTGTTTTCTATTTGTTACAGTTTTTCCGTCTGCGTCGGCGTAGTTGAACAGTTAGCAAGATGCTGCTTAGCAGTGAGGGAACCGGTCCATGATATTCCACCGGCATGCTCTTTCCTGCTCGCTGCTTTGGAGTTTTTGGCAGCTTTGACAGATCACGCACCTGAAGACTCTGACACGACACACTTGGTACGTTTATAAGTTGTTCGTCATACTTATGCATTTTCAGTTCTAGGATTGGTAGATTTCCTCTGTCTGGTAGACTTCCTCTATTTGATCATGCTTTGTTTCGTGTAATGTTTCTTCAACTGTTAGTATTGCAGTATTGTCTGCAAATGTGGCCAATGTAATATTTTTCGTAACAGGGATACCACAGGTATATAATAAATATATTATGGCTTCCAGAACAATGTCCTGTGGGATTCCTGCTTTCATCGGTCGTAGTTCTGAATATTGGCCTTTCTGTTTAACTCTAAAAGTTTTGTCTTTCAAATACGAGTGCATTAGCTGAACATAGAGGATGGGAAGATATCTTTTGAGTTTTAGTAACAATCCTTGGTGCCACAATTCATCGATTGCTTTTATGGCTAGGAAAATAGCTGGGAATGTTTTATTCCCTCGAGAGGTCTCTGTGTAATAATTATTGTGCGATGTATTTGGTCTATTGTTGAGTGTTTATTACGGAACCAATTTTTTTTATTATTTCGAATTAACGTGTCTCGACATCTTCGGTAATTGACGCGGGAGCAAAAGTTTACAATAGTACCTACAGCGTTATGATACAGAGTTTACAATAGTAAATAATAACAATATTAGGTGAATTATATTTTTAGACTTTAAGAAGTCTATTATACTCTTAAGTCGGCTTGAACAGTTCAAAAGTTTTTTTAAACTGTGGGTTATATTGTTGGCAATGGCTTGGCAGCGTTGGCATTCTGTGAGGATGTGCTTGACGGTAATAGGAATATCGTTGCAGCATAACTGTTGGTCTGGAGCTGACATAAGATACCGTGTGTCAACCGTGTGTATCCTATCCTCAATATTCGTATTGCTAGCTTCTCTTTTCTGTTCATACTAGGGATAAATAGCTAGTTGTTAACGTTAGGTTGTATTTCTCTGAGCTTTGTGTCTATGGTGATCCAAAGTTCCTTCCACTTGCTTTGGACATTCGTTTTGAATTTTGGTTTTATTTCCTCGTGGAGTTGTATGTTGTAGATGGGTAAGTTGGATGTAGATGCTTCATTTGCAACACTGCTAGCCATCTTATTTCCTTAGATGCCGGTATGAGAAGACATCCGTATAATTGTTATTGAAGTCCCTCGGGAAGTGTGGACATGGATCGATATGGTAAATATTTTCTAACGCATGAATTGCGGATAAGAAATCGGTGCACAGAGGTACACTTTAATGATTGTCAAACGGGAAATCGAGAATCCAAATTGTGCGTTTCACAATGGCCTTCCTAGGTAATTTTTGTAGTAATTCTCCTGTTATTAAGTCAAATCCCGGAGCCTTTTTGGGATTGATATCATTTTTAGTTACTTTTTTATGGGTAGTAAGCTTTATCAAGTCACAATTGTTCAAACCGTGTTTAATATTTTCATCATCATGGTTTCCGGCTTGAATCAATCTTTTCCATTTCGTGATTTTGGAATAAATACCCTAAGTATTAAGTGAACAAATTTGCCTTTGGTTTTCTGTCACCTGCGCATGTTCCATCTTCTGAACCGAACAGTAGACTTTAAAATATCTTTAAAATAGGAAAGTATGCAGTGTTTCCCGCCAAAATGATTTTTGAGACCTCTTGACTCAGTTTACTGTGCTATTCAATCTGCGGTCCTAGCTAGGTGAAACTTGTACCGCTCTCAAGGTTAAAGATAACGATAAAATCCAAAGATAACGTTATAATAGTTTCGTCTAGCTGTATCAGCAGAGATTGTAAAGTATGTATTTGGTTTTATACTTGTTTATTTTGAGGCGGAAGTACTCAGTTTTCCTTCAATATCAACAGACCTTCGTACACAACCACTTGTGTTTCTTATTATTCATTAGTATTTCATACATTACCAGCTTTTATTCGTATGTTTATAAACAAGATATTTTGTTTCAGGTTAGTACTCTGCATGCAACTGAACTACTGGGCTGTGTTTCGATGTTGTATGGGTCTCTTCTACCTCCAGATTCGACGCCTAGAGTAGAAGGACAACAGCCACCATCGATACCTACACCATGTCTTTCTTTGGCATCCGTAACTTTCAAATTACTTAGGAGAGTAGCAGAATTAGACATCAAGAAGTTCCAGGTAAGTCTGTGAAAGCATTAAATTAACTTCTCATGTGTTATTTTTCTCATAGAATCACTTTTTTAATATTTTTTAAATTTAGTATTCATAATTTGAAATATATTTTAGTTACAAAGTTTTTTGTTCTTTCTTGTTCGTTTTGGGTTTAGCGACAACACAAAATAGGTCTATAAGACCTATAAGTATTGGTCTATAAGTATTGGTCGTTTTAAATTTTGTTGCAATATTTTAAATTTTTTCTGATAAAGAACGTTAAATGAGGAATATAATCATAATTGGTGATATATTTCCATCAAGATGTTTGATAAAAATATAGCCCACCATTTTCAATAACGTTGAACGAATCTATTACACTTAAACAAACCCTCCACTTTGACATCAACTCAAACTCGAACTTCATGAATATTTCTAAAAGCCGTTATATATCCATCCGTCCTCTTCTCGTTCTCTTGCGTATATTTGTTCACCGACCTCGTCATGTAGATGCGAGCCTCCATCGCGATATTTGCTCTAGCCGATACGTCACCGCACTAATTGAATCATTTTCCTCTTCAAATCTCCAAATTGGCTTTGCGCGTCCTCTATCTACGCTCTTTGTATCAGTACGAGTGTGTGTGTCTGTAATTCCCATAGGACGTCGGTTCGTGTACTCTCTTTAAACTTGCTCCTGTTTGCTTTGGCTTCACGCATCAAGACAATTATGATAGAATTTATTATTGGCGCTGTTTGTTTTGGTTATTACTTCGTTTTCACTTCCAGATTAGATTATTTTACGCTTAGATTCAATTATCACGTTCTTTTAGAAAATTGGTGGCAATAATTTTATTTATCGTAGCGACTATTGCTTAGAAACTGTCTCTGTTATCGAGAGAGACAATGTTTTTGCTATATTTATTAGAATTTAAAGGTTACAGTACACATTTGGCTCAACAAAGTTTTTGCTATACGAATAATAATGCATTATCGTTCCGAAGTTTTCTCAGTTTAGTTTGGTTGTATGGTGTAGAGGCCTGGACGCTAAATAAGCAGATAAACAATCTGGAGACATTTGAGATATGGGCATATCGAAGGATGTTGAAAATTTTCTAGAAGAACATGTCATATTGACTATTAAAATGAGAAAATTACAATGCCTGACATGTTACACGCGGAGATAAATATCAACTGTTCTTCTATTTCTAAAGGTGCCTATTTTCTAATGATGTTAATGACCACATTGGTCCATCTTATTCTATTGACAGCAGCTCGTGATAGATCAGTTGACGTTAGATCAGTCCGGTTCCTAAGATGCCAGCCAGGATATACGTCTGCGTTAGGGCCTCCCTTGCCCTCAATCTTGCATGTAGAATCAACTGTAGAAATCGGTATTTATTATTACGCATAATGTGGCCTAAGTAAGCTAATTTTCTGTTCTTTACCGTGTTAATAATTTCTTTGCCTTTTTTTCCCCATTTTCCATTTTAAACGCCTCTAAAAAAGGAAGCTGCAAGTTCATACAAAGACAAGAAATCCAGAAATTCAGATTAGTTCTTTTGATATTCTCTCACACGAGTTGTAAGCTCTAACCATTGGATAGGGAAGTTTTTGACCCACTTTAAAAATATTATAATTCCGCTTGGGGTGACTAGTTGTCTCAAATGGCCCAAACCAATGGCTGTGATGTTTGCGAATGTGTAGGAGTAACTTTCCCCCTGTAACATACGCCTCAGAATATCTTGGTGGGATTCAGGGTTAGTGGAATATTTCCGTTAAACGAAAATATTTTCCAAGATCCCAACCAACTGCAGATCCCCTCAACTGCTGAATATGCTTTTTCTTCTACGGCATTACAGCCCAAATTGAACCTTGTCCTCCTTTATTTTTTGCCTTCACCCTTGCTTGTTTGTGGCTGATCTTCTCCATACACGGACACCTAAAAGGGCTTGTGCGTCGCTGTTTACCGTGTCTTTCCAACGCTTACTTGCCTTTCCAATCGGTCTCTTTCCCTGCATTTTAGCATTCAGTACTCTTTTTGGTAGCCTATCCTCTCCCATTCTTATCACATGTCCTGCCCATTGCAATCTTTGTATTTTAATGAATTCTGACAAGCTGAATGTGCTGCTGTGACAAATTTTGTTAGTCCAGAGCAAATCAAAAGATCAGTTGGAAGACGCCAGAATTCGTAGCTGAAAGACCTGAGAAGATGGTTTAACCGCTCATCTACAAAAATCCTTCGTGCAGCAGTTCCCAGAGCTACAATTGGCATTTGGATCGCCAACCTTCGAAAGTGAGAAAAAATAAGAAGAAGAAGAAGAAGAGCAGATACGGCCATTTCCGAAAACTGGAGCAAGACAGGTAAGGCGTGGCGGACATAAACCTGGTCGGTATCGTGTGTTAACTGACACTCCAGAGAAAGAAGAAATAGAAAACGAAGAAGATAAAAATCAAAAGCAAAGGACGCAAAAAATAAAACGTAAAGCGATTCAGAGGAAGATGTTGATTTTGGGACCACAGAGTCAGTCAACATAGAAGAAGAAAAAGACATTGAAATGGAAAACATACGAGAAAGCGGATATGCATTAGTTCGCGTTGCCGTTAAAAATAGAGAACATTTTTATGTTGTGTAAATTCTAAAATTATGTGTTGGTACTATATTAGAGATACTCTATCTTAAGAAAGCAACCAGTTTTTGAGCAAATAAATTTGTTTATTATACTGAACAAATATAATATGAACTTTCCATGAATCTTCTTCTTACGGTGCCTTATCCTTAAGGACGTTGGCCATTACATTTGCCCATTTCCTGGTCCTCTTTTGCTATTGACTTTGCCTTCGATTATAAGTTGGAGCAGTTCATACTTTTGATTTCTTATGATGTGACCAAAATATTGTTTTTCCATTATTTTATTAAAAGCATAAGGTCTCTTTCCTTATTCATCATCCGCAAGACTTCCGCAATTGTCGTATGGCTCATGTAGGATATTCTGAGCATTTTACGGTAACACCAGAGTTTCGAATGCTTGGATTCTTTTTTGTGTTGCTTCTGTCATTGTCCAGGCTTCAACACCATAGAGCAAGGTGGAGAAAACATAGCACTTAAGTATTCTAGTTCTGAATGAGATGCCCAGCTGGCGGTTACATAGAACTTTTTGCAGTTTGTAAAACATTGTACGTGCCTTTTCCAGGCGTATTCTTATCTCTAGTGAGTGGTCCCAAGTTTCATCAAGATTACTTCCAAGGTACGTTGTTCTTGTTATTCTTTCCAGATCTGTTCCGTCGACATTGACCTTCACCCTTCTGTTTTGGTGCTTGCTGATGACCATCGTTTTTGTCTTCTTTGTATTCAATTTCATTCCAAATTCTCTACAGGCTGTCGTTACTCGGACCATTAATCGTTGCAGAGCTTCAGCATTATCTGCCAGTATGAAAGTGTCATCAGCATATCGCAGGTTATTTATGCATTGCCCGTTTATAATTACACCATCCGAGGTGCCTTCCAAAGCTTTCTGAAATATCTTCTCAGAGTAAACATTGAACAGCAAAGGTGATAGGACACATCCCTGTCTTACTCCCTTCTCGATATTGATTTTTCCAGATGTTTCGCTTTTTATTCTGATTTTACCCTTTTGTTCTTGGTAGAGGTTTGAAATGATTCTTAAGTCTTTATCGTCGATATTACATGACCTTAAAATATCTATTAGTTTATCATGTTTCACCAGGTCAAACGCCTTCTGAAAGTCTATAAAACACAAGTATACATCAGAATCGATATCTCTACATCTTTCAACTAGCTCACGTATTAAAAAAAGTACTTCTCTTGTTCCGAACCCATTCTTAAAACCAAACTGAGTTTGACCAGTGTGTTCGTCTAGTTTATTGTATACTCTATTGTGTTTTACTCGTAGGAAAAGCTTCAACATGCTTTCCATGAATAATATAATCAAATTATTACTTGTGCCAATTCCTGTTTGTACCCTCTTTAATGACAGAGTAGAGGTTACTCAGGGAACGGTACTAGGCTCGGGCTTCAGTCTGGCAGAGGTCTCTGGGTCCTCCGATTTCTATACTTAGACTAGCTAAGGATAAAAAAAGAGTGGGAGTATTGGCCGAAGAGTGCCACGCGAAAATGATACTTAAATGGCAAGGCTAGTGTGGTCGTATTTGTATTCTTAATACTTTCCCTCGACAAGAAAGATTATTTTATCGAAAACCAACATCTCCGTTTTTCTAAGAAGGTAAACTGGATACTCGACAATAGAAACTAATTTCTTTGTAAGAGCAAGGGTTTTTATTTAAAAACCGAAAGATAAAAAGAGCAGGGAAACATTTGGCGAACTATTTTGTTGTTGCAAAAATGCATGACAAATCGCTCGTTGTTTTTGGGTTATTTTAAGGTTTGTAGCAAAGTATATACCATAGGTGGCGTGAAAGTAATTTTTTAGGGGAATAATTTAAAGAAATTTTAAACATGCCTCATGTTGAGTCCACTTATAGATAAACAAACTTTATGCTTTTTACGGTAGACTTTACAAACAGTAATGTGGAATAGGTTAGGTAAGGTTAGCTTATAATCACAAATTTAGTACAATCCAAAATTAGAACAACTGCTAAAGAAGAAAATAGTCAAAGGGAAAATTGCAAAGGTAGGATATCAAAAGTTATTTGTGGATAATGAGGTTTGGAAATGAAGTAAATTATAACAGATCGCAAAATGAATAAATTAGAACGGACATGACACTATTACAAAGACTACACTGCAAAGGAAAAGGATACAAGAAGAAAAAGACAAAAGAAAACAATAACATAAATGAAGTAATACAAATGGCAACATTGAATATACGAGGAAGCTACACAGAAGGAAAATTGAAAAAAATGAACTTAGAAAATATAACTTTCATATTACAAGGAACGAAGCAATTATTGTCATGAAATAGAAGATTACTTATTCTTTAATGCCGGAAGAAATAATAAAATTCTAGATACAAGCCTTTTAATACATAAGATATTTAAAGCGTTAATTG